ACGACTGGAAGGTCTGCCTTCCGATCCACCCACCCGTGGCGGGTGAGTTCGAGTCGCTTTAGGCGCCCGTTATTTGCCCCTGCCGGGTGTGGCCGGTGGTAGCGGTTGCGCTGAAGGTCAGGTGACGTCAGAGGGCTGGACGGACCGTGCTGAGCGTTGCGGCACGTTAAAATTTCGCCACCGAATCCTTCAATTTCACGATCGGATGGTGGTGGTCAGGGCTCACACGATAAGCACTGCTTGGTATGGGCTCTCGTCCCGGAACTTATTCCATCCACTCAAAAGGTTCGGATTTAATCTGTCGCGAAGAAAATAAAATAACATACGACATCCGGCGCAGATGATAACCCACCGTCACCGTCTGGCATCTTGTTTACACTGGCAGTGTTGTGGTGTGAATCGGTGGCGATGTCGCCGTGTTTAGACTTCCAGTCAGTCGGACCGTCCGCCTCTCGGGAGGAATGACTGCCACCTGGCTACCACCGGCCGGTGGCTGTGTCGCCACCCATCGGCGGTGGGTGTGGCGCACATTCGGTGTGTTGACCGTACACACGGTGGCGCTGCGGCCGCCTGTCCGCGGCGCTGCACCAGCCCCGATGTGGTCTGTGGCCGTGTTCTCCCGCTCTGTTGTGTGACGCGCCCGCCGCGCCGGCCGCGCCAGGTGTCTGTTGTGTGACGCGCCCGCCGCGCCGGCTGCGCCAGGTGCCTGGACTCGTCGCTGGCCATCAAGCCGGTGTTCGACCGGTACCAGTCGGTGGTGATCACGTCCGGCACGCTCTCGCCGCTCGACATGTACCCCAAGATCCTCGACTTCCACCCGGTCATCGTCACCAGCTTCACCATGACGCTGGCGCGGCCCTGCATCCTGCCCATGGTGAGGCCCCACGCCACCGGCGCAGCAAGGGCTCGGGGCTGGCTCGGGGCCCGCCTGGTGCTGGGCAGGCCGCCGACCGAGCGACAGCACCGAACAGACCTCGGGAAATCACTCTGAGATGTTGGAACTGATTGGTCTGATACTTGTTCTCTCGGGTTTCAACCAAACAGGAAGCCGTAACATATGTTCGTCTCAACAAGTCAAATAAGTGAACTTAACCATAGAAACAAGATTGGCATTAGTTGGCCCGCCCTAATGTTGCCGAGTATATGGACACGTATGGTCGGCTGGGCCGCTCTGTTCTGTTACGGAGGGATACGGAGGGACCGGTACGCCGCGGTCTGATACCCATATCTGCCCCCAGATCGTGACAAAGGGCAACGATCAGGTGGCGATCTCTTCCAAGTTCGAATCTCGCGAGGACCCTGCCGTGATTCGCAACTACGGCAACCTGCTGGTGGACATGGTGACCGTGGTGCCGGACGGCGTCGTCTGCTTCTTCACCTCCTACATGTACATGGAGAACGTGGTCTCCAGCTGGTACGACCAGGGCATCATCACGCAGCTGCAGAAGCACAAGCTGCTCTTCATTGAGACGCAGGACGCGGCCGAGACCAGCCTGGCGCTGCTCAACTTCATCAAGGTCGGCGTTCGTCGTCACCCGCTTTCTCCTCGCGTTTGCCGTCCTCAGTTGCAACACCTACCCGCAAACGAAAGCACATCGTTTTCTCTGCGCGGGCTCGCTACACGTCCCAAGCACGCTGCTGGCCTCCGTGTCAGGCGAGCGATGGCGCACGAGCCGCGTGCCGCCGGGCGCCGCCGCCAGCCCCCGCGCCGACCCGTCCCCGCCCAGTTGACGCCAAGGTCACGGTCGTGCCGGCAGGCGTGCGAGAACGGCCGGGGCGCCGTGCTGCTGTCGGTGGCGCGGGGCAAGGTCAGCGAGGGCGTCGACTTTGACCACCACCTCGGTCGCTGCGTGCTCATGTTCGGCATCCCCTACATGTACACGCAGTCGCGCATCCTCAAGGCGCGGCTCGAGTACCTACGCGACACGTTCCAGGTAACGGGCGTGTGTCTTGTCAATCTGTCTGTCTGTCTGTGTCTATTGTCTTGCCGGTCTGTCTGTCTGTGTCTGTCTTGTCTTGTCAGTCTGTCTGTCTGTGTCTATTGTCTTGCCGGTCTGTCTGTCTGTGTCTGTCTTGTCTTGCCAGTCTGCCTGTCTGTGTCTGTCTTGTCTTGCCTGTCTGCTGTTGTGGCCTGTCGCTATGTGTATGTCATGTGTCTGCTACTGCTCGAGTTCATGGGAAAATTGCACGACGTCAGAAGCTCTTTTCATTGTTGTTGTTACAGTCGAGACAAAGGACGATATGGATCTGTTAACGTTTGTGGTTGGTTACAGTGATACAATTTATCCCATCGCGAAGTACTAACTTGGAATGTCATTGTGCTTCCTGCTGTAGAGGGTCAGGTTCCATTTCACCCATGCTCTTTCCCCCATGTGTATGTGTGTGTCATGTGATATTTATTGATCACCTCTCTTGTCCTAGTAATCAGTGTGTAGAAGTTAAATGACTGAGCTTGTGCGCTTTAAAAGTTCCCAAGAGCCTAGCTCGTGCTCGCATGACGCCGCGGGAAGTGTTAGCTCGTGCTCGCATGACGCCCCAGGAATTGTCCGTTGACGCTGTCCGTCGACTCATCTGGCTAAACGTGTCCACGCTGCTCTCCAGCCGCATGTCCGCCTCTAAGCTGGCTCTGGTCGGCCTCGTGGCGTCAGCTTCGGTTTCGTGACGCTGTTCACCCGTGCCGCAGATCCGCGAGAACGACTTCTTGACGTTCGACGCCATCCGCCACGCCTCACAGTGTGTGGGCCGGGCGATGCGAGGCAAGACCGACTACGGCATCATGGTCTTCGCCGACAAGGTGCCGCTCGGGTCGGATAGGGTCGGATCCGGTCGGTTCGGGTCGGGTCGGGTCGGGTCGACGGCGTGGCGATCGGTGACACGAGGATAATGGTTTACAGTGGCGTGCGGTGGGCGCCGCTGTCGAAAATGACTGCTCTGCGGCCGCCCCGGGTTGGTCTCGGGTGCTCTGTAAGAGTGTCGTCTTCTTAGCTATCCGTACATTGACCTGCTGTCTGGTGCTGGCTCAGCAGTTAGACGTATTTGACCTGCTGTCTTGTGCTGCCTGAGGGGTTAAGTAATTTTGCCCAGCTGTTAAGTTGATGCCCACGCTGGGCCGTAGCGCTCTAAGTGAGTATGTCTTTTATTAACGGCATCCCATCATGTAACATGCCAGCGTTCAAGTGACTCTATAATGGACGAATGAAAGGTCATCTCCTGAATAATCGCGCGGTGCTAGGCCGTTAGCCCTCCAGTTCTCGATGCATGCAGCGCCACCATTCACTTGGGTACCAAGTGAGGGACGCGTCTTGTCCCGGATGGTCTTGGTGTCAGGCGTGGCTCAGCACGGTCGACTGTTGCAGCGCTTCCAGCGGTCGGACAAGCGGACCAAGTTGCCGCTCTGGATCCAGGAGCACCTGAAGGACTCGATGTGCAACCTCAGCACCGAGGAGGGCGTCCAGGTGAGACGGACGCGACGTCGGGGGGGGGGGGGGGGAGGGGGTGGGGTTGACAGGCGCTAATGAAGCGAATTTTTGAACAGGGGCTTTGCGATCGGGTTATGATACTTTGGCAGCCAAGGTGAACAAGTGGCTTCAAAGGTATATAGAAAGCTAAGCCAGTCGGGGAGCTGAGTCAAACCAGTCAGGGAGCTGAACCAAACCGGCCAGGGAGCTGAGCCAGACCAGCCAGGGAGCTGAACCAAACCAGTCAGGGAGCTGAGTCGACAGGTGGATCGCACGAGCTGAGAGGGCCGTCGGGATGACTGCGGTACAGTCATGAGGCCACGGGTGCCGTGTCGCGAGTCCGCCGCAGTCTCCAGAGGTGAGAGTGGCGTGCGACACGGGACCAGTCGTGGCGGCGCGCGTCCGGCGCGCCTGACGAGCTCCCCTCCTCGGCAGATCTCCAAGCGGTGGCTGCGGCGCATGGCTCAGCCGTTCAGCCGCGAGGACCAGCTGGGCATCTCGCTGCTGACCCTGGAGCAGCTGCAGAGCCAGGAGATGCAGGAGAAGATGCGGGAGCGCGTCACACACCGCGTGTAGGCGCGGGCCGGCAGCGCACGCGGCCAGCCCTTGCGACCGCAGCGCGCCGTGGCGCCGGGCAGCTGGCGAGCGGCGTGAGGGACGCCCACAGCCCGGCCCCACGGCTGAGAGCGCTGTGATGGACGTGTTTCGACTCGGGACCCGGCAGGAGGGGGTCGGTAGCGAAGCACGTGGTCGGTACTTGCACGCTGCCTCAGGCGTTTCAGTTGGGAACGCGCAGTTTGTGCGGTGATCATTTGGCAAGGGCGTCGGCGGATGGTAGATCAGTTACTACCTGTTAGGATTCTCAGCTGTGTCAGCTAGATTGATGGGTGTGCCTAGCCCAGTTCCGCCTCTGCCTGGACGCAGTCTCGGGCATCTCGCGTTCCAATCATCGCGTCACTTGCCTTCTGACCTGGGCCGGACCGGGTCCTGCCCTGCCACAGGCCCGGCCGTGACGTTACGGTACCGTTACGGTGGCGGAGGGTGACAAACCGGTGCTGCCGGGGAGTCGTGACGCCTACGGCTTGTGCCGGTCGTATTATGTAGTGGACGGATGCCTTTGGACAGCTGGAACTGGCCGGCGGGATGGCGTGCGTGTTGTGTGCTGCAGAGATCGTGTGGCGAATGTTCTGTATTTATCGCGAGACGAATGTGGTGATTTCAGCCAGAGTTTTGTAATGCAAAAACGTGCCAAGAGGGGCTTGGTGCACTGTGATTTGATTCAAGTGATAGCGATAGACCACGGATAATCTGTGAATTCCTTACGTGTATAGCGGTAGACCACGGGTGATGTGAATTGCTCTCGTGTACATATCGTTCTTTTTTCATTGAAAACATGCGATGACTGGAGTTATCCTTATGCAGCAATATGCTGGCACTGCGTGCAAAGTATTGCCGACCGAATACTTCCGCACAATCAAAGACAGACTTGTGAGTGGCGAGCGTCCGATTTCACACATGAACGAAAATCGCTTTTCGCATTGATCACGCGATCAGCGGCTCGCACCACCGCAGCACCACCGTCAGGTCCGGGGCCAGCACCACCGACACATTCTGTCCACGGCCGTCACGGTACTATCGTGCCGCGAGGGGCCACGAACCTCGCCGTCTCGTTGGCGGCAAATTGGTAGCGTGCGCTGCCGTCAGCCATCGCCAGCGGCGTGCCCGGAGCCAGGGCGCCCTCTGCCGTCAGCCATCGCCAGCGGCGTGCCCGGAGCCGGGGCGCCCTCTGCCGTCAGCCATCGCCAGCGGCGTGCCCGGAGCTAGAGTGTCCCGCTGCCATCAACTCTCAGGCTCGATCGCGTCACGCAGCCGGCGCGTGTTTGAGCCTCGCGGTGCGTCCGTCTCGTGCCTCGGGAGCTGGACATCTGCTGTCAGTCCCGGTCTGACCGGCGGGGTAGGTCTGCGGAGTGAGCGGGACGCGGGGCTCTCCACATCGCCCAGTACGGAACAGCGGCGTTACCTGCTCAGCCACATCGGCTCGGCGGAGTAGGTCTGCGGAGTGAGCGGGACACGCGGCCCTCCACATCACCCGGTACGGAACATCGGCGTTACCTGCTCAACCGCATCGGCTCGGCGGGGCAGGTCTGCGGGGTGAGCGGGACACGCGGCCCTCCACATCACCCAGTACAGAACAGCGGCGTTACCTGCTCAGCCACATCGGCTCGGCGGAGTAGGTCTGAGGAGTGAGCGGGACACGCGGCCCTCCACATCACCCAGTACGGAACAGCGGCGTTACCTGCTCAGCCACATCGGCTCGGCGGAGTAGGTCTGCGGAGTGAGCGGGACACGGGCTGTCCACATCACCCAGTATGGAACAGCGGCGTTACCTGCTCAGCAACATCGGCTCGGCGGGGTAGGCACCTCGAGGTAGACCCGCACTTGTGGGCGTCCTCGCACTGGCTGAAAGGCACATAAGCATCGGAGATCGCGCTGCATTTGACGCTTTGACGGCAAACCTGAGCACATCAAGCTCAAGTCAATAACCCGTTGTCATTCTCTAAGTAAGCTAGACTAAATCACAATGGTACAGCACTACGGGCTGCTCCATGGTCCCGCTACTTTCCATCAGTGATGATGATCCCCAGCCGAAAGCTGGGACAACCGACGCTCGATACAGCTCAGCCTCACGTTTCAGCGTGCGTTTGGCGGCCGTTGACTTCGGCGAAAAATAACAGTGGCAGCCTGCGCACTACAGCACCTGGATGCGTGACATGTTACGCACATGTACATGTTACCACGAGCCGCCCACGTGTCGATGTCGGCCGAGCGCGGAGTCTGCATTCAAATCCCACCCATGTTTCTCGGGCGCATTCCAGTCCTGCGCGGTGTTGACAGCGCGCTTGGCTTGGCTCCGTTGATCCAGCTGCACGTGATCACGGATACACGTTTCGTAAAATATCATGAGCCGCTGATTCCACGTCACCAGCCTCCACGCACGCATCACACATGGCCAGTCGAGTCGCTACCGGCACAAGCCCCCGTCTCCACCCACGCATCACACACTGCCAGCGCAGTCGCCACCAACACGTGCCCCTGTCTCCCGCACAGGTATGCTCCAGCACAGCCCCTGTCCCCAGCCTGTCCCGCCTCCGCCGCCTCAGCCTTGGCCGTGCCGGTTATACCAGGTAAGCTCGCCGCTCCCCGCCGGTGCCTCCCGCCACCGGCGGCAGCAGCGGCGGCGGCACGCCGCCCAGACTCATCAGCGAGCTGGGTATGCGAAGCCGGGCTCTGCGCGGCAGGGTGCAGTAGGCCGGGGCCGGTGGAGGCGCGTCGGCGCTGGCCGCTGCGCCTCCACCGGCCAGGTGCGGCGTGGAGCCGGTCAGGCCGGCCAGGCTGGCCAGGCCGGGTCCGCTCCAGGGCAGAAGGTCGGCCGTCACGCAGCTGCCCGCCTCGCTACTGGCGTCCAGCGCCCCCGACGAAAACTCCGAGTCTGCGGCAGGGTGGCGTCGGTGAGACACACTGTTCGATCCCCCTCCGAGTCTGCGGCAGGGGTGGCGTCGGTGAGACACACTGTTCGATCCCCCGCGGTGTCAGCCCTTCCTGCCAGGGCGAGAGGCAGGCAACGCCATATGGCCTCAGCAGCTGAGTGCGTCGTAAAGCGCCAGTGACGACAACAGTGAGACCGCCTGGGTCACACTCTCGGGCACTCTGAAGTGATATATTCATATGGATCTTTAAGAAAACATCAAAAGCTCATTATTTTCTTCTGATCCGTATGTGTGGAGGGGGGGGGGGGGGCAGGGGCAGTCCCGGCTACTAGCAGACCTTCCACCGCCATCGTGCGGATCTGTATGAAGTTGTGCTAGGCCGCCGGTGGGGGCGCTCACGATGTTCATCGGTCATTGAACATGGTATTACGCTGCCCGGTTGATTCACCGTGGCCTATGAATACACAACCGCCTCCACTTGATGCCGGGCCAGTCATTCGCTCGCGCGGCTGACGCGCTTACACTGCGGGGGTCCGTGGGGCGGTGGCGCTGCCTGTCCGGCGAGGCGAACGGTGTTTCCGGCGTAGAGCGGCGGCGGGGAGGCCCTAGCCGCCAGGTGCCACCCGTCAGCGTCCAGAGTGGCCACCTGAGACGGTCCGGGCAAACGTTAGCAAACACAGCATGCGGCACAACCATGTGGTTGACTGGAGACATTGAAAAACGTGGTGGAAGGTACGCTACTTATGTGGAATGTACGCGTGGACCAACACATAGCACAGTATCCATTGCCCATTCGTCTGCAGAGTGACACCATCGAGTTTTTATTCGGATTCGGGGGGATCCCTCCACAACAGAAACGTGACTCAACATACGTAAGCAGGACTGTCATTCTCGAACATTCATAAAAGCGCGCGAAGTCGGCAACAACTGTGAGCCCGTTCGGGCTGGGCGCTGCCAACCGCAGCCGGTGGGACTTACATCACACACGTCCCGCGTGCTATCGTGTCCGCCGTGGACGGCCAGCGAGCTGAAGGAGTCGGCCCGGCCGGGCGCCGCTCGGCCCGCCTTCAGGTCCGGCCCGCTCCCAGCTGCAGGCAAGCAGGCCCGCTTCAGGTGTGGGGCGAGGTGCGACCCATGTCGCTTAAGCATATACGAGCTCAGAAGACTAACATCTCATTACAACGCAAAACACCAGGGTGGGTTATCTCATTACTGTGAAGGAAACCTAGACAACCACGTAATATCTAATCGTTCCTGAGTTTACCTCATTGTGATATCCGACTCCTGGAGCGTCCAAGAAGCCCAGCCCAGTAGGCACTGGTGTCGAGCGGCTGCCTTCGTAAGACGCACGGGCGACTGACCTTGCCTGCTGCGGCGGCGCCGGATGTAGCAGACGACAAGCAGACAGTTGAGCAGGAGCAGCGCCGAGCCGACTGCGGCGGCGGCGACGGCCAGGCCCGGTGGGCGGAGCGACCCGGCCGGCGTTCGGGTCGGGTCACGGGCCGACGCAGGCCGCTCTGCCGGGGTCACGGCAGACCTCAGCACGCGTGACACCAGCCGCGGCAGCTGGACTCGGCGACACTCGCACGTGGTTAAGGGCCGCGTCGCACGTGGCAGGGCGTCAGGGCACGCGTCGCACGTGGTGATGACATGTAACTTGTGCCGCGCTGCACGAGCTCGACGCGGACGAAATCGCTGTCCCATGACGATTTTGAGCTCGGGTGATTTCCAAGGGCAGCTGTTCGCGGCTTATGGGAGCCGTCGCACGTCACACTCTTACTTCTCGCTCACACTTCTACCACGTAGAAACTGGAGTGGACCAAAACACCTGAACGTGGCGAGCAACCAAATCGCTTCCTAACGCGGCAACGAATGCAACCGCTCGCCGTCAGACATATCAGTGGCGGGCGGGATGACTTCACACGCACCCGTCATACGCGTGAGCCGGTGACCTCACCTGTCCCGGTGACCTCACTTGAGCTGGTGACCTCACCTGTCCCGGTGACCTCACTTGTGCCGGTGACCTCACCTGTGCCGGTAACCTCACCTGTGCAGGCGACCTCACCTGTGCCGGTGCTGGAAACCTGGTGCAGTGATGACCTGCTCTCTCCCAGCCGGTTGTGGGCGGACACAGAGAAGCGGTAGCGCGTGCCACCTCGCAGCCGGCGCACGGTGGCCTCGTACGTACCGTGCGGCACGTGCACGTGCTGCTCGGGCGCCGGCTGCCGCACCGGTGCGTATCTCACTCGGAACGTCTGAGAAAGGCCCGAGATTGAATTGCGTGACTGCGTGGGTCCGTAATACAGATGCAGACAGGGCCAAACAAACGGCTTTAGACTAACATGAAGAACATGCTGTCAGATTTCGACTGATGCGGCCTAATTCGACTCAATAATAGAACTATGTGGTGATTTGATGACGAACGCTGCATTTGTGCCCATGGACAGCGAATCTTAAATCGCTGGCTGTCCTCTGCATGCTCCTGGCCGATCTGCATATCAGCCTTCCTTGTGGCCTGATTTATATTTCACATTTCAAAGGAACCTTTTAAAGTCGGTCAAATTGCCTGCAACGGAGAACAACCAATTGCCTTCGACGTGCCTGCTCCTGCGTCCCCTGAAAACTCGTCAATGACTGCCAGTTGGAGTGGTCTACGATTATTGTTCTGGACGTTGGGTCTCACCTGGCTGAAGCCCCCGTCGAAACCAGGTGTCCAGCCCAGGCTGACCGTCTCTGAGGAGGCGTTAAGCACCCGCAGGTCCAGGGGAGGGTCCGGTACGGAAGGCAGCACCAGCTCCACGGTGTGTGAGTCGGAGCCCAGCCGGTTGGTGGCAGCACAGTCGTAATCGCCATAATCCTCCAGCTGGACGTCAGTGATCTCCAGCACTGAGACCCTCGTCATTACGTCCACCTGGGAGAGCGTGAGGTATAAGTGACATGCATACTACGCAGCGCATCGTTCGCCATCTAAATGAATGCGCCTTGCCTGGCAGTCGATGTCTTGTTCCAACTGAAAAAGCTTAAGCGCAAAAAAACATACCAGTGGCAAATGATAATAACTTTAATGTCAAGTGACATGTCGCTTTTCGTATTTCACCACGGGAGTCCTGAGAAGGTTGCTACTACTAGGTTGTTATTACGGGAGCAAGCCGACCTTCCCGTTAAAGAGGCGATAACGAAACTACATACATGTCGAAAAGAACAGCGTAACTATACAGTAACTGCCGGATGCAAAATATTACGGTCCGTAATTCGATGAAACCGATCTCCCTCGCTGACCACTCTGTTAGCAGCGGCGCCGCGCGCAGCTGCAGGCCCAGCTCTGACCGTCTGCAGTCGGACGCTGCGCCGGCCATCGGCGGCCGTCGGCACGGCCCTGCCGGCCCTGCTCCAGACGAGGGTGGCGTCAGGCGCGGCCCGGGCCCGACAGCTGAGCAGCGCGGCACCGCCCGGCTCGGCCGCCGCTCGGCTCAGCACGGCGCTTCTGTCCAGCCGCGGCGGCTCTGTCGGCGGACGGAGGACGGGTCACGGTCTATCCCCGGGGGGTGGGGGGGGGGGGGCATCAGACGGGTCACGGCGTCTGCCGAGGAGGGAGGATGGGTCATGGCCTCTGCTGCCGGAGGGTGTCAGACGGGTCACGACCTCCGCCGGGAGGGAGGATGGGTCACGGCCTCTGCTGCCGGAGGGTATCAGACGGGTCACGGCCTCCGCCGGGGAGGGAGGATGGGTCACGGCCTCTGCTGCTGGAGGGTATCAGACGGGTTACGGCCTCTGCTGGGCGACAGCGGGCGAGCCACAGCCTCTGCCGGGGGACGACAGGCAGGTCACAGCCCATTCTGGAGACGGATGACGGGTCACAGCCGGCCCCGGCCACCGGCAAGGAACCCGCGCTCTGATCACGAGGCAGCTGGCCTCTCGGCCGTTATACTCAATCGGGGAAGGCTGCAGGAGTTGAGAAACCTGGGAGCTTAAGCCAAAAGGTGAAGGCAGAGGAACATGTGATCACACACGTACGCAACATATAATAATTACGACACGCACGAAAGGGGGATTACTCAACTAACTTCCTCCAGACCAATACACCTCGAGAGTAAGGTACACTGCCGATGGCTCCGCAACAGAAAGCCAGGAGGGTGCATCTTTCCAACGTCTCTGGAATTCTGGACTCTGAAGTCTCCGGAGTCTCTGGACTTCTGGACTTCGACATGATGCCCGTTGCATTGCATGGAGAGAAAGGCCTCAACAGCCTCGCTATCCCCCGCTTTTGACCGATGGCGGGGCCCACACCTCCCCCCTGGACAGGGCTGCCGTGCAGAAGACTGACGCATCACTCGCAGCGCGGCCGTGGCGAGGACGGGAGGGCCGACCCCGTTGTCGACGCGGCAGATGAAGAGGCCGGCGTCCTGGGGCCGGACGCGCCGCACGGTCAGTCGGGAGGAGAGGCGGTCGCCGGCGGCGCGGGTGCGCGCGCTGCCGCGGCCGGCCACGTCGAAGCCGGCGCGCTCCCAGCTGACGGCGTCCGACGGCGCCGGGTGGGCGTCGGCCTCGCAGCGCAGCTCGGCGTCCTGCCCCGGAGCCACCAGGGCAGACGTCACGCGCACTGACTCGGGCCCGTCTGGCGACGACGGGAGAGGTCAGGGTCAGATACTGGATCCCCAATCCAAGCGGGGTGCGAGAGACCCGAAACGATCTTCCAACGAAAGTGCAGCTGAATTCTGGACTTAAGGAGTTCTGCTGTGAAGTTCAGTCATATATTGAACCATAAAATTCGCTTCAACGGAATTAATACGACAATCTTAGATCACGCCCATCAGCTGCCGTAATATTTCCATTCAAAATGTTGTACTGCAAACGTATGGATATGAAGCCAGTGCCCATCATCAAGGTTCCGGGACCGAAATTCGGGCCGAAGTGCAGGCTTGGTGACAGGAAGCAGCGAGCCTTCACACCATGGATGTATTCCAACATCGCACTCCAAACGCTCACAGAGGACATCGACGTGAAGCCGGGCAGTGGCGGAGCCGAGTGCGTTGGTGGCTTCCAGCCGATACCAGCCGGCGTCCTCTCTTCCAACCGACGTCAGGTTCATCACGCCGTCCGCTGACGTCAGCGTGACGTCACCGGCGGTGTCACGTGACCAGGCGTAGGAGAGCACGGCCGGGTTGGCCGGCGCGACCAAGCTGATGATGCGCGACTCGCCGACCACCAGCGCGTCCTCGTAGTACTGCTTGGTGAAGACAGGGGCGTCTGTGGGGCGGGCATGATGCACTTCTGAGGATCTGAGCCTCGTGTGTCTCGATGACTGCGTCCTGAGCGCGGTTTGCGTGTTATACATTACAGCAGCGATTTCATCGAGCGGTTTTCCTTTGCAGAGCATCAGTCAGCATCAGCAGCGCGGCAAACAGCGGCAAACTTACGCAGCAACATTGAGAGTGACCTCCTGCCGCACGAAACTGGAGATGCGGGGCACCTCGGCCTTGCATACGAACTGGGCGTCGTGGTGGGTCCAGTTCAGCTGCTGGCGCAGCTCCAAACGGCTGACGAACCTGTGGCGTGGAGCCAGCAAACCGTCACCACCGGCACCAGCAGTCCGTCACCAGACACACCAGCAGACCGTCACCACCCACACCAACGGACCGTCACCACCGGCAACCAGCAGACCGTCACCACCCGCACCAACGGACCGTCATCACCGGCACCAGCAGCCCGTCACCAGCCACGCCAGCAAACCGTCACCACCCGCACCAGCTGTCGAGGCCGGTGACAGCGCTGTGGGCTCCCGCACCAGCGAGTGAAGTGGAGGGGACAAAGTTATGTATGACATTTAGGGAACGGTCTGCGTTGACTTGTCATTTAAAGCAGTCTTTGCGGTATTCTCGTTTGTGCCGTGACTTTCGTCTCGTCCCTATTTCCGTAGCATAATTTACCTATCCATGGCATCTTGCCGATGGGTTTATTATGGATTAATTAATAACAAGAGAGAGAGAGAGAGAGAGAGAGAGAGAGAGAGAGAGAGAGAGAGAGAGAGAGAGAGAGAGAGAGAGAGAGAGAGAGAGAGAGAGAGAGAGAGAGAGAGAGAGAGAGAGAGAGAGAGAGAGAGAGAGAGAGAGAGAGAGAGAGAGAGAGAGAGAGAGAGAGAGAGAGAGAGAGAGAGAGAGAGAGAGAGAGAGAGAGAGAGAGAGAGAGAGAGAGAGAGAGAGAGAGAGAGAGAGAGAGAGAGAGAGAGAGAGAGAGAGAGAGAGAGAGATTATATATATATTATATATATATATATATATATATATATATATATATATATATATATATATATATATATAATGGGTAAATTAATACCATTCGTTGTTGATGTATTTGCATCGTCATTGCTGATGTATTTGCAGGATTTCATGAGTTCAACAGACCGATTGGGTTGGATTAAGCTTGATTCAGTCTTTTGTCACGTCAACTGGCGCAACGAATCATGTCGAACCCGAGGCGCGAACATTTCCAAAAATGATCGGGGTTGGGCGAAGGGGATCGGGGCCGGGCAGAACGTAAGTTTAGTTTTCTTGTGGTCATTTTATCCATGCACCAATATTGCCCTCAAGCATGCAAAGTGACAACCGGGCCGAGCCACCCGGCCCCGCCAGCCCCGCCAGCTCGTCGGTGCTGACCCGCCGTTGCCGCCATCCTGGCGCGTGACGTCACGCTGGAGCTGGTCCAGCAGCTGGCGGCCGCCAGTCCACCACGAGAGCTGGGCGGCCGGCAGCGAGGGCCGAGACTGGCAGGTCAGCAGGGCCTCGCCGCCGGCCACCAGCCGGTCCGGACTCACCGCGATCTCCAGCCTGCTCGGCGGAACTGAAACAGACGCCGCTAGGCTTGATCATACTGCTGGCAGTGGCGCCCGGCCCGGACGACAGTGAGCAGCCGTTAACATCGTGCAGCAGGCGGCGAGAGTATCGCTCCGGCACACGATAGAACGCGATCATCATCAAGCCCATGTTGCAAAAACAGTGGCACACTCGAGCCTCCATCTCGTGATGGGGACTGGGCGGTGATCCCAGAGCCCTATCTATTAATTTGCCGGCACGAAACACAACCGTCGAATAGCAAACCGATGTCCCTCCGCTGCGGTGATCACTGGACATTAGCCTCCTGACACTTAACAGCCCGGCACTGCTTATGAGGTAAACACACCTTCAAACCGTCACCAGAGAGGCTTCTTTTCAGAGCAGTGGGTCCACAGCCCCTCTTTGTTTCGCATATCAAGCACACGCCACCGGTCTAACGCTTACATCCTCCGGGGGTCCTGAAGCTCACAGACCCGCGCAAGCTCCTGCCGTGCTCACAGTATACGGTGATGGTGGCGTTGTCCTGCAGGTGGCGCCGGCCGCCGCCGCCGTCGCTGCGACACACCACGACGGCGCCGTTGTCGGCGGCGCTGACCTCGTACTCGAGTCGGCTGCGCCCGGCAGCGATGACGTGTCCCGGCTGCTGCCGGCCGCCCACCGACCAGGAGAGGCGCGCCGGCGGGTTACCGCCTGGCGCCCGGCAGAGCAGCTCCAGCCGCTGGCCCTGGCGCAGCGCCAGCGCCAGCTCCCGGCCCAGCTCCGGCGCGCCGGAGCGTACGATGCGAGGCGGCGCCGGCGCGTCTGTCGGACGCTGGCGGTCAGGCCGGGCAGAAGGACGCTCGGGGTCCACACGGCACGCTCAGTGGTCCGGCGGGGCAGAGTGCGCCGGCGTCCACTGACCAGGACAAGTGTGAGGAGATGTACAGACATATAACACCCACCCACAGAGTATATCGGACCCACGAGCATTTCGGTCCCCTGCCCGGACATGCACACTCCTGGAGCGTTTTCCAGCTCCAAAGACAAATGCCAGGTCATCCTCACTCACAGAGCACCGAGACGGCGGCCGAGCCGACCTCGGTTACGTCAAGGGCCCTGTTGGAGGCGCGGCAGGAGACTTGGAGGTCGCGCCGGGTGCCGGGTGGCACCACCGTCGACATGTTGGAGGCTGTCGTCCAGCCGCCGGCCGCCGCCAGACGCACGATGTGGCTCGCCTGGATACGGCGGCTGCGGTGAGGTGAGATCCACGCCGTGGCTCCATCCCAGGAAACAGTCAGCCAGAAG